GATTTGTTTGGTCCTTGATATCTGCTGTTGGCATATTCTGTCTTGGTTCCAGCGCTACAATTATTCATGGAGTTCAAAACCTATGGATATCACAGGTACTTGACTATTCCCCCCTCCCCCCCATATATTTATATATATATATATATATATATATATTAAGCTCACAACAAATTACATCTTATTACACTTTCTGTTTTCTTCAGCCACCAGATAATATCGAGTATGCAGCTCTGGTGATAAGTGGTTCATTTATAATTGAAGGTATAATTGTAGATGATATGATATCTAGACATGATGTTTTAGTTTATCTTATTTGCCTTGTAGAGTACTTGAAATTGAAGAGAAAGGAAGCACTAGCACTAATCTTCTGTTACATTGCACATCTGCTTCCCAGAGGTAAGCATTCAGTAGTGCAGCCATATTTTGCACTATTGAGACATACTACAGTATTTGTGGAGCATTTTGATATTTTACATGCAGGTGAGCTGGTTGAATAATATTTTTGGAGTTTCCACTGTTATTATTGTGATTTTACAGTTTGCATTTCCCCTCTGGAAGATGAAATATTTTACCAGTAATCTGATAGAATTGATGAAAGGTTATTGTCAACCTGATGGGTCTGAGCTTAGGTTAATGACATAGTTAATTTAACAAGAATCCATATATGAGAAGAACTATTTGTAATTTCCTTTACCTCTTGGTCCATATTCTGTAACAGATAAACTAGTGAACTGTAGAAGCATGGTGCAATGATTGAGGACTTGTTTTCTCTTTAAAATATTTAATAAGGTTGATTTGGTTACTGTTTTGAAAGATCTAAAAGTAAAACTTTCAACTGGATGTCTAAATTGGAAATCTGTTTCTTAAATTGTTGTTATGTTTTACTTTTGCCTACTGCCATCTTTTTCTGCATTCTCTTTCTTTTGCGCACATTAAGGATGATGTTGAGTGTTTGATTGAATTATCTCTATGTTTTATCTTTCCCTAATTCCCTTCTTCTAAATACTGCACCTATCTAGTCTGTTAGTGGACCTTTATGCACAGTTTTTCTACTTGTTCAATTTTTTCCTTTAAAAAGTTATAAGAATCATAATGATAGCTGTGATTTTTCTTAGCTATTGCAGTTTGTTTTTCAAGTTGTCATATAGAAGTTTTAACTTTGGATGGAATGTCCTTTATGAAATGGAGGATTGGGTACTGTTCTATACTTTGATGAAAATGTGATATATAATGTCTCAATAATTCTAGTGGGTTCTTTTGGATGAAAATGTGATATATAATGTATGTTTGCTGTTGGACCATCTTTCTGCCTTGTTTCCTCCTCCTTTTTCTTTTTCAATGTATCTTTTTTTTTCTCAGAATTAATTGTTAGCATATAATATTTGTGGGGGATGAATGAATGTAATTTGACATTATGATAGTGGAAAAAACTGAGTTGATCTTTGATGCTATGACTACTATGTTAGTTCATTTGGATAGATTGCTTCTTCAAGAGAAGACATTGAACGTGTACACATGTGAATGCGAGTTAAAGAGTGGGAGAAAGATGGAGGGAGGGGGCATTATGTAGTTAGAACGAGTTAAAATAAGGGAGGTTCTCCATTTCTTGAAGAATGATCCGGTATATCTCTACTGGAATTGTCTGACTTGAAATCCACTTCATTTACAATCATTCTTGAGAAGTTTGAGGGGTATGAAATTTCTGCAGGTTGTAGATGTTTTATATGATTGCAAGAGTGAGGTGATTGGGCTTAGGTTCTTCAGATTCAAGGTAGAGATTGGTGATTTTCTCACATCGACTTTTACTTTTGGCTGATTATTTTCAAAGATTGGTTTTCTCCATAATAATTTCTATTCTGATATCTTTTTGCAAATTTTTCTTCATCTCATCAGGTACAAGTATTTTAATTAGAAAGCAAGAGATACATTTTACTAGCTCTCTTCCTGTCAGTAACAGATCAATAATGCTATTGTGTTATGAACATTGATACGATGTTTTTCTTGCTGTAATTATGAAGAAATTTGTACTGAGTCCATACTTTCGGATTTATGATCATAAATAAGGGATGTTAGGTTACTAGTATGGAATTTATGCTAGATCTGGCCTGCAAAAATAAATAATTTTCATTTCTCTACCTTTTGACATTTATTTGTATTATTTGTATATGACACTTTAGTTCTATCTATATTATTTGTTGAAGGAAGTCCAAGTCAGATTTGTTGGATATGGGGCTGAGGATGATCAATGGGTTAATGTAAAGAAGGCAGTACGAGAGAGATCATCCCATTTGAGCATTCTGAATGTAATAAGGTGACCATTGGAAATCTCGTGTTATGCTTGCAGGTGATTAATAGATTCACACATTGTTCTTAAATCTCTCAATAATCTTCCATCTCTATGTTAATTTGCGTTTCTTTCTGGAATTTAGGAGAGGAGAGATCAATCAGTTTACTATAATGCTCACGTCGTAAAGATTGATTGCAAAATGCAAGATATACGAAGCTTCAATGAAGACTAAATTCTAGTGAACAATATTTTTTTTAATTGAAAGTGAAAGAACCTAAACTAAATTCTAGAGAACAATGTCAAACTACATTACATTTAATTTTAATGTTTATAAATTTTAATTTATTTTTGTTATTAAGTATTTTTTTTTGCATAACTTGTGTCTTAATTAAAACAGATGGTTGTTGTTAATTAGATAAAGCTACCTGATATTAAATTTAGGTGATGTAGTGCAGAAATGAAATATGCAAAGCTATAGATCTGACATTTTGCGACGTTTGACATAAAAAACACCGCTATAGATCTGTCCTTTTACGGCGTTTGTTCTAAAACGCCGCTATAGATATTGACCTTTTGCGGCGTTTGTTCTAAAAAAACCGCTATAGATCTGACTTTTTGCGACGTTTGTTAAAAAACGCCGCTATAAATATCGACCTTTTGTGGCATTTTTTCCAAAAACGCCGCTATAGATATCAACTTTTTGCGGCGTTTGTTCCAAAAACGCCGTTATAGATATCAACATTTTGCGGCATTTGTTCCAAAAACGCCGCGATAGATCTTGAGCTATTGCGGCGTTTTATGTTCTCAAACGCCACAAACTTTAGCAGCGCTGGTATTGCCGGCGCTTCTTGCGGCGCTTTTCCTATCGCTGCAAGTACTTTTAGCGGCACTTAAAAACGCAGCTATAGAACAAAAAAAATGTCGCTAAAACTCTGTTTTGCTGTAGTGAATGTTGGCAACAAACTAAAGTTTCCTTCTTTAATCTAGCTTTCTCAAGAAGATGATGAAGAGGAATAAGAAGATCTTGAGAGAAGAAGACAAGAGTTGTGAAGAAAAAGAGGGGCATGCACAGACGTGAGATCACCAAGTTTTAATGTCATTCAACCTTTATTTTGAACAACAGTCTAATTACACTCCGAGTCCTTCTGATTTTAGTTGCAAACTAAAAATACCCTTTTTACTCTCTATTGGGCTTAACTCAAGCTCAAATCCACCTCAAATTGGGTCAAAACTTCCTAAAAGCTAAAGATTTAATCCAAGGCCTATCTCGGTTAGCCCAAAACTCCTAACACGAGATCCGGGGCGTTACAGATTCGATGCCTTATGCCACTATTACAAAGAAGGTGACCTCGTCCCTCTCTACGTCAACAAGGTTGGCCCTTTCCACAACCTCGTGTAATTAATTAACTCTCACTTCTTTACTAGATCTGAAAGTTATTTGCTTTCCGATCCAATGCCTTCATTTCCATTTCATAACACCCACGTTTCCAACATTTAGAGTTCGAAGCTAATTACATTTAGTATATTTTTTGTCTTTTTATGGTTTGGGTTTATTCTTAAATTTGAAATGCTTTGGTTTTGTTTGTTTGATTGCATTGAAACCTATAGCTACTTTGATCTGCCATTTTGTTTTCCAGGTTCTTTTTTTAAATTAAATCTTAAGATAATTAATTTAGATTCTTAATAAAATGGTGGTTAGTTTTTAATATATAATTTAGATTCTTAATAAAATGGTGGTTGATTTTTAATGTATAATTTAGATCATTTAAAGAAGAAGAAAGAAGCATTAGGTGGGGTATTGAATGGAGATCGACTCGTGAGTGCGCCTTATAAGCTGAATTTTAGAGAATAAAAAGATACATTTGTTGTATGTAAGAAGAAGCTTTTCGAGGATGAGGTTGCATTTTACGTGATATATTGAAACGTGTTTAATGTTTTTTATTAAATTCAAAAACAATTATATATTAAATAAAGTTTATTTCATTATTTAACAAAAACAAACAGTTTGATCTGATAACATGACTTTCTTTAAAATAACACTAATTGGAGAGTGACATGTGTCATTTTCTAAGTGATTATTAACATTTAATATAAATATTATTAATTTTTTACTTTATCTTTTAAAAAAAATCTATGATACTACCCTGTCATCATCTATTATGAGGACATGCCATGTCATCGTTTTCCTCCACATGTATTTATTAAGTCAACTCTAGATATTGATTGTTAGTTAACTAACAGTTTTCATCTAATGAGAGGTTTATGCCCCAAAATAAAATATTAGAGTAATATGCTTTAAAAAAATAGGAGGCAAATTAACACTATTATAAAACATTAGGGATGTTTTGTTGCATTATATCAATTCAAAATATAATATTTAAGGATAAAAACATAATTTCATCAAAAGTGATTTTCTACTATAAAAGTTAAAAATTTGAGTTTTTGAGATTAGATTGAAAATTATTTTTAACCATAATTTTAAATTAATCTTTTGATGTTTAATATTACAAAAAAGGATAAAAAGCCACTTTTTTTTTATTATTATTATCATAAGGATTTCCAAATTAGATAATCTTACAATGAAGGCTAAAGCGAAAACACACATTGATGATAGAAAGACAGCAGCTCAGGCTCTTCAGCAAGCGACGAGGGATGATAATGAAAGAGTCCTAAAACATTACTAGCAATCTCACAATCACAAACACCACTATATAATGCATACACACTAGATATAATAATAATACCATAAGATAACGCTCTTTCCTTTGTTTACCTTACTCAACACAACAACGATACATGAAATACATCTCCATCGGACGTCCACACTCGGCACACACTACCCTCTCCGAAATTTCCCCGCTGATTCCCGGCAGAATAAGCCGAGTGCAATGATGGTCGTCCGTGATCCCTTCGAGATGCTTACGGAGTCCCGGTACAAATCCCATTTGCCTGGCAAATACTTCCCATTGATCAAACTTCTGCATGCTGCTAAGCATCTTCTCTCCATTGGCTCTCACCATTTCAGTCGATCCGAAAAAGAAGACAGCCCATCCCTGTTCTTCGCTGCCGTCATACCCGAGTATCGTCATCACTTCCTGCTTTATCACATCCGTTTCGTCGGGTTTTCCATGTTGGGTCTTGGAGTACAACATGCTCTCCATCCGGTTCCAGAAGAACCACACGCTGGCATCTTGCCAGGTGTGGCTGATCTGCTTCTCGTTTATCAAAGCAGTGATCTTCTTCACACGTTCCTTGGCGTTGTTCTTGCCGACATAAACCATCTCTAACCCGATTTCGAGTGAGGCTGCAATTCCTTTCGTTGCCGAAGCGAAACTTTCGATCCATTCCATTTTCTCACCGCCGTACAAACAGATCACTTTCTGATCTTTTATCTGATAATCACAATATAACAACAGGAAAACCAAGAATAAATTAACCAAACCAATTGATATATATATACATACATATATATATATATATATATATATATATATATATATATATATATATATATATATAATGGCATGTGAGGGATGTCCATGTACCCAAGTAGGTAAGTTCTGTTCGAGGCCATCAACAAGTAGCTCAATCGTCCAAGTCTCAGCTTTCCAAAGAGTTGCTTCTTTTTCTGTGCTGAATGGGAAGGCTGTATTCCCCCAAATCCAAATCATGTTGAGTGCATTAGTGCATGTGACCTTCCCCTGTGGATCGAGTGTCACCACGATCGGCTTCTTCACGAATCGCCATACCTCCCTCGCGTATTTCATCACTGCCGGTTCGATGTTGGACGGGTGGCTCATTGTGTACCACGGCATAATGGATTGCAGGTTCGTAAACTTTTGCTCATAGCCATCGTTCCAAGCTGATTGGTCCACGATTGGGAGCCATACGATCTCGTAGTTAAGCTCAGTAGATACTCTCTCGTACTTGTAAACAAGCTCGAGAACTTGAATCTCGTCATGGGAGATATCGAGATCCGAAATGAGAAGTAGAACATGCTTTCTTCTCAGGACATCAATTTGGACCTGCATCAGATAAAGAAACAAATTATATATGATCATCCAATTGCAATCCAATCCAAAACATGGTTTGGTGATGGAAGAGACCTTGGTCTTCTCCGGGCTCAAGAGAACATGAGGATCTTCCTTGCGGAAGATCTTTATCAGAATCCTCACGACATCCATTTGAGGTGTTTCAATTGTACGCTTGAAGTCGTCAAAAGCTTCTCTCTGCTTCATCTCATCTGCATCCCATTACCAGCTTTGTCAACCCTTTTCATGGGTTGATTTAAATAAAAAGATGAATACGTTTAAGAATATGCAGACATACCGATACGCTGATAACAAAGACGTAATAACTTTTGAAGGTGTTCGTGTATGCTGCTAACTTTATGCGCCAAGCTTGATAGTTCCCATGCCTCGGAAGTCGATGTAACAAACCTAAAATCAGCCAAAAAAAAAAGTGGATTTGTTAATTATTTCATCTTGTTGGCTCATTGAATGGAGCACGTAAGAAGAAATTCATGGCTCACTCGTGTGTCAGCCCTATGAGGCTCGTAATCTGCGCAGCACAAGCCACGACGCTCCTAATGGTCCAGTAGGCAGCCGTCGGGATATGAGCTAAGGCGATCGACATCGGTGGCACCTCGCTCGAAATGTACTCGGTAGGAAGCTCGGTGAATTCGACCATGCACTTGGTTACATCTATCATTGCCTTGATGAGCTTGTTGAGTGCTTCGAGGTGGGGTTTCAGTGTTTGGGAATGCTCTAAAACATCGGGCAATTGCTTGAGGAGAGCCACGGATTTGGCCAGTGAATTGGTGGTGCAAAGTTGGACAAGCAGCCAAAACTCCCCGAAGTTCACTGCGAAAGCTGCTAAAGTTAGCACCACTTTCGCATCCCATGAATAGCTTGAGAGCATGTTGAGAATCGCCATTGTTGTTGCATGAGCGTCTCCTCCTCCTGAACACTTGCATGATATCTACAATTCGATCTTAGTGTCGTTATTGCACAGATACTACTTTGTAATTACTAGGACTATTTAAAAGAAAACATGTCAAATAACCTCGCAGCAGATTTTCTGTACGATGTAAGCCAATGCGTCGAGCACGTCCTCACTGGAGGATAAACTGGTCCGATCCAAGGCGTCGATGTGTCCCGTTCCACCCTACAAGACAAAGAAAAAACCAATGCCATGATCGTGAAAATCCAGAACAAACATGAAATCACAAGGCTATCAAAGTTAATTACATTCAAAGCATGGTCAATGTCGGGAGTGATATGTCGCAGAATATTCTCGATGATGTGAAGAATCGGTTTCACGTTTACTAAACGGCCGTCGGGGGCATGCGTCGACTGAATCTGCTTTATCAGCGCACTGTCGTCGGATGCGGCGAACATCCGACGCTCACTGCGGACTAGTTGCTTGGATCTGGAAGGATGTGATGAGTGAGAGAGAGGAGCAGCCATTGGTAAATATATCAAGTGTTTTTTTGATGTGTGTGATTCATTTAGTAAGCATTGTACGGCTTATATAGTGATGAGAAAATGGAATAAAATAAAGCAGAAATCTTAGTTTTCTACTTTGCTTGCAAGACGAGTAATAAGAAAAAAGCTAAAGGGGTTGTTTAGTAGGATAAGTATAACATAAATGCAGCCATCAATGGCCCCCCCAAGCCTTTTTCTTTACACGAAATATCCAAAATGTAGGAACACCACATATCTATTATACTTAAAATTTGCATAGATATATAAATTTAATTGAGAAATGTAACTTATACTTTTGGTTCTAGGTGTTTAAATTTTTATTTAGTCAAAATGATTTATTTTATTACTATATAAAGATCAATCGTTATGTATCTTAAAGTGGATGTTTGACATATAACAACTATTTAAACTTATTTTCTTTTAAAACATCCATCATACACTTTATTTTCATTTCTCAAAGAAGTTTCTCTTTTTCTTTTGAGAAAAATCCCATAACTACGGATTAGGGTTGTACACTTTGTTATATCATATCTAACCCAGAAAATCGAATATCTAATTTTTCATATAGATATAAGCGATCTGTATCTAATTAAAAAAATCTGATATCCAATTTTTTCTAATATCAAATATTCGAATTAGATATCTAGTTTTTAAATTAATAGTAATATTTTTTAAAAAATAAATCAATAATAGTAATAAAGTAGTAGTAAAAAAATTAAGTGTATATATATATATATATATATATGGTAATAAAAATAAAACTAATAGTGGTGTTCCATGACCATATCTCTATTATTTTGTTATTCTTCAATAATAAAGTCTGCCATGAAGGTATAAAAATGAATCAAATGATTTAGTGCATACGAATTCATAAAATATTTCAAATTTGACTGATGTCGATGAAATATTTATAATTTTGTTTTGGAACTTGCAATGAAAATAATAGTGGTGTTATAATAATAATAATAATAATAATAATAACAATAATAATAATATAAAGAAATAAATAAATGACAAAAATAGAGAAAAATAAAAATAAGCATGTTGAGAGATGAAATTGAATAAAAATATAACTTAAAAGGGCCAAAATAGTAAATAATTATGTGAAATTTTACTAAAGAATCAAAAGAGAAAGGACCAAGATAATAATTAACTCCAAAATTGCAAAGGGCCATTATTTTTTCTTCATATTTCCAATAACCCAAAACTTAAATATTATGTTCCATATCTAATCAGATCGCTTTTTTTGTATAAATATCTTATATGAATAACTTAAAAATTTAAAAATAAATCAAATGTTTAAATTTTTAGACCGAATGACCAGATAAACTGAGTGTCGGTGTCTTCTTGGATCACCAAAATTTAAAGCATAAATGAAAATTTGGACAGATTTTATTTAGACCGGATCAATCCAGACACTTTAAGATGAGGACCAACTGAGCTTCCTATGCCATGGTATTTGCCAAATGAGTTTGGAGATAAAGTTTTAAGATAAGGATGCTAAAGGGAGCTTCATTTAACTTTTGTGACGTCACAATGCCTACGTCCTTCATATTTTCTTACCCTTCTCATTTTTTTTTGGAGCCCAAGTCACGGATCACGTGTAGGGATGAGATGGGTGGAATACCCCTTTTTTTCATTTTTATGTTGATCTAATATTTCTGTATATACTACTTATTTATCACCCACAAAAATGAGAAATTTTGAAGAAAAATTACGTACTTAATATATAAATTATTAATTTTGATCTATTTTAGTAATTATCTTTTACTTTTTTTAATATTATACCTAATGTTTAGTTTATGTTTTATTTTAGTATCTCGACATTAAAAACTTAAATAATACCTAAACTAACAGTTTTTATCCGTTTTAGTACCTAAACTTTCATTTTTTCCCCCAAAACTTAACGTTCAATTTTGAACGGGTACTAAAATAAAACAAAAATTAAACTTTAGGCATGATTTTAAAAAAATTAAAAAGTTTAGGTACTTAAATGAACCACCACTGTAATTTATCCAAATTTTAAATCTACACCCACCCATGTGAGTGCATTCACCTTCACACCCACTATCCAACTAGATACCCACCATCTATCTCGTATCCGTCTGTATCCTCTCATACCCGCCTGACAACAACCTCACATATTACATAAGTAACAAAACATAAGACAAATACGTCCATTAAGAAACATAATGAAGTAAACTAAGGAATAACTAAATATTAAGAAACATAATGAAGTAAACTAAGGAATAACTAAATACATGATAAACATAAATTTTAAAATAAACCCAAGTTTGAAAACATAAAACATCATAATAAAAGGCATAATTAAAGTCTAAAAATATAAATGACAAATACATAATATTTTCATTCTTCGGGTAAAATTACAAGTCATGTCCTATAAAATATTTATTACCCAACACAATTAAAGTATTCAATTCTATAACTAAAAAAAATATTCAATTCTAAAAATGTTTATACCCTAACATTTGGTTAAATTAAAAGTTATGTCCTATAAAATTTTAAGATTTATTGAATAGTTACTAAAATTATATCTAAATTCATAATAGTCTAAAATTTATATGATTTGTAGTTAGTAAATATAAAGCAAGCAAATGCGGAGTGAATAAGATCTCAAAAACCTCACTTATCCACTATTGATAGAGGATATGACATGAAATTGTACTCCCTAGTCACATGCCTCCTTCCTTTTTCTTTAACCAAAGGTTCAAGGCTTAAAAGTTGTATTATTTTTTTGTTTTTACATTAATTCCAAATGATTCAAAAATAAATAGGAAAATTTGAATAAAACAATTAATGCGAAATAAGATATAGAACTAGTTAAATTTCATATTTTAAAAAGATTATAGATCTAAAAATAAAAATGATAAAAAAATTACATAATACTAGTTTAATTAGTAGAGTTACAACAAATTTATTATTGAATTAACCCTATAACCTTCAACCAAATAACTCACATTTGAACAAAATATCAAATTTAGAAAATATATAATTAAAAAAGAATAGGTTAGCATAAAAAAAGATAATAGAAACTTATTCAGTGATTAGTACAAGTGATTAAAGGGAATATTAATGGTTGTTTGTTTACTTCAGAATGATTAAGCGTTGAATGATTTAAATAATGAATGATTCAGAGACTCTGTATGAATTAACTCTGAATGTGACATGCTGTTTGATAATGACTCTGAATCATTCAGAATGTACTTCTATGCTGAATTATTCAAAATGTACTTTTGTACTGAATCATTTAGCACTGTTTTGCTAAATCATTTAGACTTGAGAAACAAACAGTCTGAATGCTGAACGGTTCAACATTCAACACTGAATAATTTCATTCAGAACCAAACAAACAACCCCTTAGTCTTGTAAGACAACCAAGGCAAGTGTTTGGGTCTAAGCCCAATCAATGTGAATCTATCATCAATAATTTAAGGCATGGCAGATTATTATTCACAAACTAAAGCATGTTCGGCAACCAATCAAATAATTCAAACTAAAAGAGGAAAAGAGCTTAGAAACAAGTTTTCCTTTAAATGATGGCTTCAGGATACATATACTTTTCCCAAAATTCCCAGCTTAATAAAATAAACCAACAGCACCAGATAATCTTCATCTAAATCATTTCACCTCAAAAGCTTCGCCTCGGTTTTAGCTCTGCAACATTTACTCTTAATGCTCTTCCATCCGGACTCTGCAACAATAACAAATAAATCCGGCTCAGAAATTTCGGATACCATATATGTGCCTTTGCAATATCATCTAAAACAAATATGTATTTCCAAGCAAATGCATTCGTTGATATACGGCAAATTATGGTCGTCGAAAGATTCTAGCAAAAATTTTACTGAAAACGCTGTAACATTACCTGTCCATCGAGAGCAGCAATGGCATCATTCAATTCGATCTCTGAGGACATAGTCACAAAACCAAACCCACGCGATCGGCCTGTCTCCTGGTCATAGACCACACGAGCCTCCACTACTTTACCGTGTTCACTGAAAACTTGCTCATAAACACAAGGGGGTCATTCGATACGTGATCCTCTAGGAGAAGCCTTATTTACGGTCAATTGCCTTCCATTAAGATCCTGTTTAAAAATAGCAATAACTAAGCACAAGCACCTAATGCAAACTTCAGAGCACATTAATACACAAATAGAAGAAAAACGGAGAACCCATGGGATCAGTACGTATCAAGTATCTCATAGACTAGTACTTCTACAAAGCAATCTCAATATGACATAGAAAGAAAGAGAACAAGTTGTTTTTGGGGGGAAAATGAACAAAATACAAAGCTTTTCAGTAATAAATACCTTGGATATCATAGACAAAAGCATACCAGAGATCAAAAGGGTTGCCCAAGCATTTATCTTATTCATCGATTTCTATTTAAAGGTAAGCTAAGTGGCGGATCCAAGTGGCTCCTTAGGGTAGCATTTGCACACCCATTATTTTGGGGAAAATTTTAAATCTAGTTTAATTTGTTAGTGGAAATAGAAAAAATAAGGAAATTTGCATACCCTTTTTTTAAAAAAAATAGACACACCCATTATTTTTGGGAAAATTTTAAATCTAGTTTAATTTGTTAGTGGAAATAGAAAAAATAAGGAAATTTGCATACCCCTTTTTTTAAAAAAAATAGATTATTATAATTTTGGACCCCCCACTTTTTAATTTCTAGATCCGGTACCAATAAGCTAACGGAAGTTTTAACTTAAGATCAATTTCTTCTTTTCTTTAATTAAACCCAAAATACCACATATATAAAAGGGTCCATCATGGCTAAGTCGAAATAGTTAACTTGGTTCTTTCAACCATCTATCAATGACTACAAATCAAACATGAACTAACATAATTTCACACCTAATGAGGATTATTGCACACAAACAGAAAATATCTCTAATAAAAAAAATGAAAACTTGTTTTTCCACAGGATGTCAACGTGCTTATATTTATGTGCCTTCACTTCATGTTAATCTTC